CATCATTGGCAGTTTTCAAAAGATGCTCCAGCAAATTGTACCCAATACAGTTTTAGCATCATCTGTGGGGATGAGTACCTTATGTCAAACAAACAAGACGGATGCAATTGATACGGTAACCGAATAATCAGCTTTATGCACAAAATTGGCTATTTGAATCACTATAAATGCCAGTCGCTAGTTTCTCTCATTTCACGAAGCGCTTTAATCGCTCGAACATCGGCCATGTGAAATAGCTGGGTGCTGCTCACTACATCTGCATCCTATCGGAAGAAAAGTTTCCGGTACAACCACTAATCTGAACATCTTCTGGTGTACTATCAGAGGGCAAAAATTCAAATTATTTGTCGACGTAGCAGACTGGCCTATGATAATAGAAGCAGTTACCGAGGGAAAATAGATTTGAGCACATCATCTGACAGTATCACCACATCGGAGACCTGTTCCTGTGTCTGGTTGCTTTCTAGGCTGACTGTGTCCTGTGCTAATCTTGGTTACCAGTCGGTTAGTACACTGTGCACAAATCTCAATGTGATTTCCTTATATCACTTAATTGCTTGACATGGTGACATATCACTCACCTGTGTTGCGAGTTTGTATTGCTGTTTTTAGCAGGGGTCTTTCGAAGTCTACCCTGTCTTGGAGGGTCAAGTTTGGATTACACGTTGTGTGATTGAAGCTGAAGAACCGTTCAAGACAGGGAATCCTAAAAATATATACATGACCACTCAAATCGAGTACATCCGAAGCATTTTGTTGGTTATTGTTGACATTTTACTGACACTTTACTGCTCGACAGTCGCGCTGCCAAAACTCTTGCAAACTACCCTTATGCTAATCAACATTTTGAACAACACCATTGTCTTTGGGCTGGTAGACTGATCCGTGTTTCACTAAAACAACATCTTGATTATTCGAGGGCTAGCAGCTTTTGAGCGAGTTGATATACATTAAATTGGAGCAAATAAGTGGTAAAATGTCCGCAAAATATCTGCAACGATGAAGTCAGAAGTCTTGTCCGATGGAATGCGAGTATTCTCTTCAACAAGCTGGTTTTGACGCCTCGTTCACGACCTGCTATGTCGACTGAGCATTTGCCCCATCGCGCCCTGTTCGTTCGTGCGGGCCTCGTGGCCGCCTGGCGGTCAACCGTCCACCCGGCGATAGTATATGAAATCATTGCCTTCACGTCTTGTTTCCGTTGAATCCACACATCTGCCCGGTTGGGGACCAAAGGACGAAGGGTGCCGGTGGCTGGATACAATTCAGGATATGGCGTGTAGTTGAAACCAATGGGAGGGCACTGGACATACTTGTTTAGATTCAGGTGCCAAACGCCAGTTTTTAATAAAAAAATGATGGCCTGTGAAAAAATAGCAAACATTTTCAGTTTTTCTTGCTGCACAATAGCTGAGGTTTGTTGCTCCCATTTAACTAATATGCAGTCATAATAATGGCGCGGCAACCTCACTTGACATCCGCTGATTTGCATGGCTTTTGTTTGGCTCTCTGATTATATATTAGACTTTGATACTATATATATGCATATATATATATATAATGTTTGCATATTCACAACAGTTATGGGACCCGTCAAATGCAGATTTATTGTAAGCGTGGCTTTAGTAATTGCATATTTTCAATACTTTATCATTAAGTGTCATGTTTAAAGGGGGCTACTTCGTCCGCTACTCCTAACTAAAACATTGTTTGGGATAGCCATCATCCTCAGTGCTTGGCACTTTTGGCATTTCTCTGCGGTTTGGTTATGATAACCTAGGGAACCGGCATACAAAAGGAATGCGAAAATGTAGCATTTTGTGGGGGGGGGGCATTCCACTGACAGCTGCTAAAGCCACACTAGTACATTGTTATTCGTAAACAAAGACCCGCATTCTACCTGCTTTTATACACCAAATCTGTTTTTTTTGATGTTGTCTGCGCTAAATCCATTATTGGAGGCTGACATTATGTGACAGGCAACTACCCTCACAGTCTATCCAGAACAGTGAGACCCTAGGGCAGTAGTTCATTCTGACGGCTGAAATCTGGAAAATAGTTCTGGGTTTTTTTACAAAACAAACAACACAAGTCAGGCCGTCAGTATATATATATATATATATATATATATATATGTATTTGAAGCAGTCTATAAATTGGTATTGTGCCGTCGAGAAACCATGAGGAACAAATATGAAAAAGTATAAATGTCAGGAACAGATAATAAGTCGGCATGTGTGCCTACAAAGTCAGAGCTAGCCATGTGCGGAAATGGGCCGCATGATGAGCCTGTCATTTCCCTTAACCTTTTAAGGCGTACGGGACAAATACATTCCACACATTAAAATGCCCGCCCGTATTTTATTTACATACAGAATGATGGGAAAATGATTTGAAACAAACCCAACAGGTCATAGGACACAGAAAACGGTCAGTTATATTGTCTGTGTGCTTCAAACCATCAGTCTGTAACGATCGGAAAATGTTTACGTTTCGTCCTGTGGTAATAGTCACTTTAAAGTTTTTTTTTGAATAGAATATGTATTTATGAGCTTTTTTCGGTCGGATTTATGAATTCATTTGTGTAAATGCTACAAATTGATGTAAAGTTTCAAAATATATTTAAATGGATTTGACAGTACATGATAATCGTGAAGGGACACATTTGTCCCAGTGTGCGGCAAGTGCGGATTAACACAGGACAAGATTGATTAGACATTCAAGCTTGATTCACTCGTTCTACTTCAGATTTCGATGTGGCGCGACATTTCCACATTGAGGTTGACGCATTTATTTGATATTTGAATGCATGTGACAGCGGGGATGAGACCAACTTGGTACTTATTACAGAAGATCAAGAATTTTTGGAAAGTGATGCTGACCAGATTGAAATAGACGTAATTATTGAGCCACCACTGAATGACGAAAATTCGGGAAGTGACAATGCTTCCTCAGACACTTCCCTGGAACTTGCTGTGCCCGATCCTTCTGGTTACCGCCCCAAGCGGATGAGGTTAGCTTTTGAAATGCCAGAAAACCTTAACTGCTCTCCACCTTCTTTTAGGGTTTCCGCACCCGAAGAAGGTGAACCTGTAGCATTCACATAGCGCAAGCCCTATAAACATTTTATGTTCAAAAATGACAAGAAACTCCAGGCTTATGGACAAGTTAACATGGACCAAATCTCAGATTCGCAAACTTTGAATGCAATGCCAAAGCCCTTGCAAATATTTGAAGCAGTTTGCCAATTTGACAAGCATATTGATGAAATACTGGTTCCAGAAGGTATTCGATATATGCAACAGAAAGGAAACACTTTCTTCATTGAACCTGCAGAGATGAAGGCATTTATTGGTATGCATCTGAGCATGAGTTACCATGTTCTGCCAAAGTTATGGTCCTACTGGTCCACAGAACCCGACACGGCAGTGCCATATATCGCCCAAGTCATGCCTTTGCAGTGGTTCGAGGCTGTTCGATCAGCTGTGCATTTTGTTGACAACAATGGTCGGCATGATACTAATGATCGAGCATGGAAAGTGTGCCCACTTATTGTTCATTTCAATGTAGCTTTTCAGGACATGCTCAGCATAGATGAATACATGATCAAATTCAAAGGTCATAATAATATGCGGCAGTATGTGAAAGGCAAACCATTAAAATGGGGCTTCAAAATATGGTGCAGATGTGATTTTCGTACTGGATATTTATTTCAGTTTGAACCATGTCTCGGCAAGAAAGCATAGCATGTGGAGCATAATTTGGGAGAGTTTGTAATCTTGCACCTTACTGAATCATTATCTAGAACAGGCTTCCAAGTATTTTTTGATTATATCTTCAACTCTCCGAATCTGCAGTATATCCTTGCACAAAAGGACATACGAGCTTGTGGAACAGATCGTGCGAGTCGGAGAAATTTGCCGACCTACCTGCCAATTCGTAAGAACACGAAATGAGGGGACGTTTCTGCTGTTTCCAGTAGTGGCATTGCCTGTGTGAAATGGATGGACAGTAGAAATGTTCTGATGTTGAGCAACTTCATATCGCCAATTCCTACGATTTCCGTGAAGAGACGAGTAGCAGGATCAGCTGACAAACCAGATGTTCGCTGTCCTTTGGTGATTCAGAAATATAAGCAACATATGGGTGGTGTTAATCTTATGGGCCAGAAAAAGGTGACCTATAAAGTTGACAGGACAGCCAGAATAAAATATTACCTTCGCATCTTCTTTGATTTGGTTGACAAATCTATAAATAATTCATTTATAATCTATCTGAAGATCAATGAAATGTACCACTTCCATGACACTCCAATTAAGCGGACTGAATTTCATGCAGCACTGGCACGTTCGCTGATATTTGACTTCTCCTGCAGACAGAGAAGCATTCCAACATATATCCGGACACAAAGGCGGTCACAAATGGCAACCAACTCAAGCAAGCCAGAACATGCTCTGAAAATATCCGAAAACAAAATATATTTTTACTGTACACAAAAGAAAATTGAAACCAGAACTGATAATCTTTGTACAGTCTGTGATGTTCATTTATGTTACACATCTGAAAGAAACTGTTTTGCAGATTTGCATAGCAAGTAACTGTTAACTTGGCCTTGATGCATATAGGGACAAATATGTCGCATAATTGTTTACAGGCACTATGCATATGCCACTTCCAAAACTGTAATATATGATTTCTATTAGCCTGCTTCTATATATTTTTCAACAAATTATCATCACCTAATGTACACTTCTCTTCCGTGCCTCAAATGGTTAACGCAAATGTCGGAAACACGTGACTAGAAAAGTCGCAAAACATTTTCACCTTCAAGTAGCCACACGGTACCTTTATTGTGCCTCCAGTTCTCCCTGTGTTACTCACTGCTGTAAGGCCTTGAGTAGTAGCTGAGCTCCGTCGTGGCACAAACTTTGATACATTATGATGATGTGTAGAGAATGATTTTCAGCTGTTTCTACGTTTAAATTAACTTTTTTGAACAGTGTCGTCTGCTCAAACCTCTGGCCGGGTACGCTGGATACACCAATGAGTGGAAGGAGCTGGCATTAATCATATCCAGGGTAAGTCCCGAAAGCCAGTGTTCCTTTATGAACGCTCAGTTGTTCTGAGACCAGTGAACTTATCTGCGCCATCTGTAGCCAAAGTGATTGATGATAGGAATTAATGGGGCTCTAGTAGCTTAAATCATTTTAAAGATTATTTAGTAGGTTCAAAGATGTGCAACTCCGTCGTCTATATTACATATCATAAAAGAGCATATATTAAACGTATCACAGGATCATCGAAACACGATAAGAGAATATGACAGTATTTTCCGGAATCATTTAAACGGTTCCTTTTACATATTAAATCGTTTGAGCGCTATACGGCGGTAGAAGCAACATAAAGTGCCATATAGTATCTCTGTGTAATATCACATCGGATTCGTCAAATTAAGTGCCCTAAAAACGTCAGACATTTGTCAAGGATCTCAAGGACATAAGTGTTTTCAAGTTCACCTTGTCCTTTGGCCTGATGGAGATTCGCGCTATTTTGCCCTGCTGCGTTCAGTCTCCTTTGCCTGGGGCTTCGATCCTACGGAGAAAAACCGAAAGTAGGGAATCGGCCGAATTATGTACATTATGTGCTAAACAACTTTTGGTTGAAGGACAAACGCTTTATGCAACACTGAGCCTTAATGCATTCTTTCTTTTACTGCAGGAGATTTTTCTACAGAATCCAAATGTACGATGGGATGATATCATTGGATTGAACTCCGCAAAACGGTTGGTTAAGGAGGCCGTGGTTTATCCAATAAAGGTAAAAGTGCAAAGCTTTATTGTTCCCACGTGGACAGTTATGCGGTTGATTGCTCTCTGTATCTAGTTCAGTGGCAGGTTTCATGATTGTTTCGACTCACCCGCTGACATTCGCTGAGAATCGGACCTCCAACCTAACACAGTTAAGTTGTCCAGACTCATATTGGGTGACATAAACTTGTATCCTTGATTTAGAACGTCTCCGTGCTGCTTTCTTTATGTTGATCATTTAATGAATGGGTGGCAACCGGTTGGTTACTTACCGTTTCTTCTAACATGAACACGCAACTCGCACCCGTTTGTCCCAGATGATACCGACTCCTACAGCCCCGCGTAACACTCCGAGATATCAGCGTCGTGTTGGTACCATGAAGTAATCTACCTAATGAATGCAACGTAGGCAGTACCGTAGACCTTAAAACTCATCGAACAAAAGCACCAAGACTGACGCAACTGACATTGTTTTCTCATCTATCCTTCGGTCTGAACGTCAAGCTTCACATACATCCTCATTAAGCTAGGTAGTTTTTTTATGAGCACCGCACTTTACTCGGATTGAACAAAACAACAGCTGCAGGAATAGTGAAAACGCAGGCTGAGCCAGAATTTGCACACTTCGTCACACTTGAATACAGTCCAGTTTAGGAGGGCTGTTGAAGCAGAAGGCTGTTGCCAACTGTCGTCAATAAGCTGACACCAGCTACCGAACAACATTGACAAAAATTCAACAACCAGCCTAAGATTCCAGGTAATTGCAACATATCGAGCGAGGTCATCTATTCACGGCAGCACTGTGATGGGTATGCATGTTTCTATGTACTGCAAGAACAATCATAAAAAGGCAATTGCTAATACATGATTAAAATGTGCGATAAAGTCCCGACAGATTGGACAATAATGGAGACGGATGATTTCCATTCACAGGCCAAATATCCATGCGCATCTATTTGCATGTCGTAAATGCGAGCGATTACATCTACAGTGCAATCGAAGTTTATGAAGAATGTGGTGTTTTGATAGCATTGTTTCTAGTCTTACGTTTAGTTCATGATCAAACTAACCTGTCAAACGATTGAGAATGCAAGCAAATAAAAAACAGCGTCTAGCCAATAAAAATACCATAAGGCCATATGGGGTCTATAGGCGTCTACCTTAAAAGGAGCGAAAACAGTCTGGATCGGTTTTAATTCTTCGACAGCCAGAATAAAAGTTAACTTCATCTTTTTATTGTTGATTGCTTTCTTTGGGTCCCCGTCCAAGGAGGTTCACCGAGGGAAGGTTAAGAGATGCCAGCTTTACCGTTTTGACACTGATACTGGTCTATTTTCGTCAACATATCAACCAGCTGTTACAAAATTTGTCATGACACCAACCGTGCGAACACACCGGCTAAAATCCTGAGCACGTTCCTGGCTCTGCTACCCAACCACTACCATCGTCATTTGTTCCGCGATACATTTTGACATCATCGGGTCCCTCTTCCAAATATATATCACGTTGAATACGGTAGTTGTGATGACTGCCTTTTAAACGGAAGCAAATTAAGAGATAAATAAATTCCCAAATGCCTTGACAAATTAAAGGTAGCATCATGCCTGTAGAACTGGGTCTAAATGAGAAATAAAGTCGCGTAATGTTATCACTGTTTGGCTTTAGACTACTCGCCGATTGGTTAGCTTGAGCACAAAATCTCATTTGGACCTTGGTTTTTATCGTAGTATACCTCAGCCATTCTGACTACTAGGACCGTAACCGAAGTGGTTAGTCGGTTACACTCATTCCTAACTGTACTCCATAACGCATTTCGTACTAGTTTGCTTACCAGCAGGTACTCTAAACTCAAAGGTTGACTACCCGACCAATGTGCTAATTAATACTGACGGATCTCGTTGGTCAAGGCATCACTCTCGACCATTATGACAAGAGTTTCAAGCTTACTTGATGCTGTCTGTACCTGGTGATGATATTTACCACGTATTACACCGAGAAGAAATCATAAATCCAGCTACGTAGTAAGACTGTTATTCGCATACACGACAATAACAATTGTATATTAAAAAGAAGGGCAGTGCAGTCAAAATTCACGTGAGCCACATGGGCGCTGGATCAAAACCACAAATCGATAGCTAAATAAGATGGCTAATGGCCGGTGTACACCTACACGGACGTAAGCACGCGGCGAGCGCTTGGCACACCACATCAGTACGTTTGACCAATATCCAAGGCGGACTTCGCAAGATAGTGCCTGCGAAATGGGGAAATGGGTGCGTGAGTTGAGCTACCACCAACGAACGGAACTCAATGAACTAGATATTGCCGTCCTAAGAAGAAATTAATGACTTCCGCAAACCCGAAGTTTGAAGAAAGCATGGATACTGGACATTTTCACCTTGAATTCGTTTTTCTTACTCCATTAGCGAGTGTGGTTTCTATCGGTGTAACATGCCGAATTCCCAAAAACTTGGTGAATACGACGTATATTTATCATGAGTGAAGTTATCTGTTTCCACAGAAACTCCCAAATCCAACACGGCGGCCAGCATGCCTGGTGCTCTAGCGACTTTGAAGCAATACAAATTGCGGATTCTTCGTTGCTTTCATTTTGACAACATTAACATTATTGAATTAAAGCGCAGCTATTCCTGTTAGCTGTTCTGGATAGCAATTCCCTCGGTCCGCTCGTTTAGCTAGGTGTAAAAACAAATATTGTGGATGTCTGTTTGCCATTGTTCTAGCCACTAATGTAATCTCATCACAATCAAAATAAGCGTCACGTACCCAGATGCGCATCTTACAATAGCGGCTACGGGTGGGCTAAAATGACACCATGGAATATGTTGTTATCTACTAGTGGAAAAAGGAACACCGTAGGCAGACGTAACTTGAATATACATTCCAATACCAGGAAGAAACAATTGCACGTTTTTGGACGGAACTAGCAGAATTTTACATTATGTTGACAGGACAGCGTCAAACACTAGCTTTCTAACCGTTTTGTCGAATCCCTACTTTACCGAAGCGTTTCTTGGTAATAAAGTACGTACTTTGCGCAGTATCTTTTGATTTCCCTAGAAAATGTTTGACCAAAACTAGTGTCAAAATACGCTGAGCAAACTGACAAATCCGCAATTGGACTGGACCGCGCACCGTCTGGAATGAGTCCGTTTATTTATTTCTAGTGTAAAAACGATGTTCCTGTGAAAATGGTAATGGTCGAGTTATAAGTTGCACTGACACGAATTTCGTGAGCTGTAGATACCTATCAGCCCACGATTGTGACACTTTAAGGGAGTCCTCTGGTCTTGCCTTTGATCTGAGCTGTCCACTGTGTTTACTATGGTCTGAAATAAATCTTGTGCATACATCGGCGTATATTCGTAGGTAGCAAGCTTCGATTTGCAACCGAACTTTTACGCATGGAAACCATTGTTAGTTCGTCTTCTTGGCTACGCTTGTCGCCACTACAATCCATTTGATTACTATACTCTATCGGGATATTCTAACGATATGCAATTCTGATCCTAATATAAAGTAAATTATTGCCATTGCACTCTTCACAGTACCCGCAACTGTTCGCTGGAATTCTATCCCCTTGGAAGGGCCTACTGCTTTACGGACCTCCAGGTATTAAATTGAATGAAGAGTTTTAGCATTCATTAACACTTTGTATATATTGGATCCGGCGTCCGAACATAATACAGACATCGTTACTAAAAAACCCATTTGAGTAACGCTTCAAGAGAATTCACTCAGTTAACCGCTTTCATTCACCTTTCCTTTTGATAAATGAATGACTTCACAACTGCTATTCATCGTTTACTCTAACATGAAGTACATTAAAAGAATCATCACGAAATATCCCTTATTTTTTGGAATGGCATTAAGCTAGCTTGTTGGCGTTGTTTCATAGGTTGTAAGCAGGACTGCAAGAAAAGACCTTTGCCTCTGCAATAGAACACATGGGGCTTCATAACACCAGCTGTCCTTCCAGAAAAAGCTTAATTAATCAGGGTTCCTAGTTGTGTCAGTTCTCACTCAGTACCAAAATCTAGTCTCTTACAAGTGGACGGTCTTGTGGTTCACATACATTTACTTTCAGTAGGTTTCACTCGTCTTCAGTCTTAAACCAGTTAACGAAATATGTGCTCCAGCTGAAAATGGTCACAACTGAAAGACCAGAAGATCTCGCATGCACTATGTAAGGCACGAAAACAGTAGCCTAACATTGGAGTCATATGCTATGCTCGAATAATGGTTGTACACAAAAGGCATCATTGACACTTGCCATAAGTGTAGTAAGGTCTTGTGAACAGTAACACGATCGTGACCTACATTCAATGGTGCCAACGCACAAACACCATATTCCTTCTCCTACAGTTCTCGTTAGGCGAGCTGTTGTACCCTAGTTATATTAAAGTGACATAAAGTGAAGAAACCGATCTCGGACAACCTAGAGACATTTAACGAAACTCTCAGTATGCATAAATAAACCTTTAAAAGCCCTTCTGTTCAACAGTTACTTCTGTCCTTTTCTTCCAGGGACAGGTAAAACATTATTGGCCAAGGCAGTGGCCACCGAGTGCAATACAACATTTTTCAATATTTCCGCCTCCTCTATAGTTAGTAAATGGAGAGGTGATTCAGAAAAACTGGTTCGAGTGAGTTTCCGTTTTTCTGATTTCATTTTGCGACCAGCCAGGAAGGGATATTCGCGGAATTCGTATGACGGCATTTTGCAGTGCTGTTAGTTGGCGAAATATGTTCTCACTTGTAATTGACCAGATGAGAGTTCACGATTGAATAAGCGACTACTTATGCAGGGGTGCGCTTGGGTGATTTTGAAGTCATGCCCTGATCATACAAACATTCGTCTCTTGAATAGCCGAAAAATGTACCGTGTATCCTCAACATATATTGGGATGTCAACTAAGTGCCCTCCCCTTTTTCACAATTTTGACATTCCACATGCTACTAAACGTTATTGATATAAGCTTGTAACTCATTCGAAAGTTGTTTTGTTCTATTCTGCTTTTTGTTTGGAACGGGCTACGTCCCAGCCACCGATTTGTGCTACTGTGCGTGTTAGAGGAGTGTGGGCTGAATCTGTGGCTGAAACTAGGCTTTCATCCACTTGTCTCCTGGCCTTATTACTTTGGGTTTACACTGGATATGAATTGTGTGGATGGAGCTATGGGTGTTACAGCACATGCTACTCATGATTCCTCTGTAGGCGCAGGCGTCCTGTGGCTGTCTTATGGAGGCCGCAATGACAGGCAAAGCCGGAACCGGATGCCGCCAACCATATACATATACATGCGTACCAGATCATCTTCCTGCAATGTGAATCTTGCAACGGACCATTTGGTCAGTTGTGGGATGTCCTTTGATACCTCAGTATCGCGTGAGTACCGTCGCCTAATGGCAGACTGCATGATGTTGTCCGAACTATCTATTGTAATAATCTGACCTAACGTAGCACGTATACAAATACTAAACGTTGGATGAGAGAATGTAGTGGCATACAGACTGACGAGATTGTTCAAATTAATAGCCAGTTAATAACCCATGTGTTTATAGGATACATCAGTGAAGGTTGAGTTAAATGCGATGAGTTCCAGTGTTTGTGCGGTTTGGATTCCAAAACAAAAATCGCTATTGACTATGCAATAAACAGCCTCGAAGGGTGTAGTACTTTAGTCCCACTTATGAGATTGGTCGAGAAAATAGGTTAGCTGCAGACGCGTTTGCTTCAGTCATCGGCTAGAATCCCTAAAGACTCTGAAAGACAATCATTGTGCTATTAACGCTGACTTTGGATATATAATTTGTTTACATCAGAGGGCATCAATTGCGTTGTTAACTTTTGGTTATCAGCCACCAGCATACCAGCTTCATGTCTCAACAGTACGCTCAGTTACTAAGTGAGAGATGATGTCATTACTTCGCAGATAGTAAGCAGTTGCACTTGTTTCTACGGTTACATACCATAGTGAGCAATGTTTTTCGCGGTGTACTCTTCTCGTCACAATCTAGTTGAGCCAGCTAGCGACCACTCAAATAGTTGTGTTGGCTACTGTTACCTGCTAAGGCTGAATCGATGTTTGGAGTGGTAACGATGAGTTCCACAGGTGACTACACTACAGGTATCCTGTGTTGGGTGACGGTCAAGTACTACGTAAACTGAGATCGCCGTTGTCGGATTTTGATTGTAATCTAAGGAGCCACTTGCTGCCGATATGGCTCCACATACATTGCTTTCTTCTATGCCAATTTGGCTCAGGTTACAACATATTCGTTATAGAGAAATCAGTGGTTTGCCAGCGTGTTCCATGGAAAAAGAATAGTGCATTAGAACAACTCCCGTTCTAAAGACTAAATCCCTGAAATTCCACCCGATTGCCTGTACCTTCCTCATACTAAAAGTCTTGGTGTGACTAATTGTGCCTTGAATCTCTACAAACACTCTGCTTGTGAACATAGCTCAGTTTACCTATCCGTCGCGACGACACTAGCCCTTAACATGGTATAACGTATTGCGTGCCTCAGCGATCCATTTAGTTATACTGGCTGGTACTTTCTGCACTTTCGGAGCCACTCATACCAGATTGCTTAGTGGTTAGAAGCCAGACCAACTAAGACTTCTGGCCCTCCAGCCTGAGGGTTGGAGTGTGGATGGCTCCCTACTCCCTAAAACGCACTCTCTGTAGCCATGTGCCAAAGACTTTGGTTTGGAAAACTAATCATTCTCCTGTCTAGGCCCAGGCGAACTGATAGTATCGTTCAAACAAACTCATGATGCTTTGCGACAAGACTTTGCCGGCCCATAACCTTAAGGATCAATTGGCTGTTTTGTAATCTGAGGGCACGTGTTCGGAACTGCGTATGACCGGGCGACCCTCGCAGTACCGTTAGCCCACGTGCGCCTGGTGGTGGTTACATGGAAGCAAACCGTCGGTACTGCGTACTGGCGTACTGCTGATGGCCTTTTATTTGCCAAACTCCCTGCTGTCTCGCGCGGACTTTTAAACCAAAAGCATATTTAAGTATCATCATCGTTCTGTCTGTGTCTGGGCAACTTGACAGTATCGTACCCGATCAACAGCCTGATCTGCGTCGTTAGATTTGCTGGCTCTTTCAAAGCTTCGAAGTAGCTCGGGGACAAATGGTGTCTGTTTGTCACTTCGGCCCACGACCCCACCAACTTTAGCGCGGACTCGGTGAGCGATGACTTCTATTAATACTTGAAAGCACTCCTTCGTTACAGAAGTAGCACGGACAATGTAGTGCTGGCTGGGGATCTGAACGCTCATATAGTAAAAAAAGTACACTGATGAGCTTCATTCGGGCGGCTAACACAGTGTAGGCCCCCCTTAATGATAACAGTGAGCAGTTACTACACCTGTGTTAAGACGCTCATCTATTTCTCGTGGGAACTAACTTGTGACAGCGACCGCAAAGGGCTGACATGGCACCCACGAGCTTCGGACCAACCATGTAAGAAAATCGATCACATCGGGATCAGTTACCGCTGGTGAGAGCGTGTCCGAAACTGCCGGTCGATTTGAAGCACGAGCTTGGACTCTGATCACATTCTCATATCTGCCGATCTGTTGGTGCGTTTCGATGGACGCATGTGGCGACACTGAGCGCATAGACAACAACCAACCGGCAAAGTCAGATGTTCTGAGTGCATATCAAAGTACACTGGTGCTCACTGAACACAGCTGGTCCCAAATTTGCCAGAGATTAGTACACGCGTGACTTTACGTAGCAAATCAACTCGCTAATCAAGACATTGAGTCACTATGCATTCTCTGAAATTTGTATACTCGCCGACTTGTTCCGGCGAGAAGCGAACACAATCAGACCAGCAAAGATCACAGTGTAAACTGCGTGCTATGTTGAGGAGAGACAGCGAAGCTTGGCGGCCACATCGTGCATCGGAGATTAGAGTGGTCGCTGCCCTTGGTAACCATCATGTTATTCCGTCTGGTTAGGGAAACGAGCAACAGAAGACCTGGTGTTACGAAACGCGCCCTTACGCGCCGTTGTAGAACTTGAGAGCAGACTGTTGAAATTGAATGAAGTCGCAATAACAGATAGACGTCTTCTAGCGCTTTTTAAATTCGGAATACCAGCTATCGTGGATGATTTGCACTGCATCTTAGTAAACCTGTGGGAGCTGGAGACTGTCCCAAAAAGTTGGAGCCTCTGCCAAGAAAGGCTCACGTTCGCAAGTTGATAGTCATAGAGGAATCAGTGTGATCTCAGTTGCCCCTAAGTTGCTCCCCTCTGTAGTTCTCTACAAAGTGTCTAGCACACCTGAAACCCAGACTCGTGAGTAGAGAAGCAGATGTGGACAATATTGGGGGTGTATTCTCCACCGTCATCATCGTCATCATCAAGAGCCGTACATCAGACATTTACGCTGATGCTTGCTGCCATACAACCATGGTGACCTATGGAAAGGAGAATAATAGGCGGGAGAGAAGGGGGATTTACTGGAAAACTTTAATGCCCCAAGCAAACATTCAGAGTCAAGGTGCCTACATTTTGTTAACTACATGCCATCACAAACAGCTTGCTATCGTGCAGATAGGGCGGCATCAACGAGACAACTTATTTGTGGCTTTCACTGTCCAGCGTCATAATCAGCCACCGCCCCACAGATAACTCAGTACCAAACACAGTTTAAGGAAACAGTCCGATTAACAGACAACAGCAGACTTGCCACTGGTGTCGACTACGTGCCATGTAATGGAACGCCTTGAGCCAAGCAAAAGGCAAGTCACCTGGACTCCGTTCTCGTTTGCAAGACGGACTGACAGCACCGAATTCGGTCGTCAATGATTTCATGGCACGCTGCCAAGTCAGCTTCTGTCCACCTCGAGCCTTGTGCCACCTTACATCTGGGAGACAAAACAAGACCCTCCTAGGTAAGCAGTGGGCAAGCAAAGGTAGTACATGCCCAAACCAACGCAATCTATTCAGTGCTATCCGTTGTTCTAGACAGTTAGGCTGATTATTAGCTTCCAGCACTCGCCTACGCGCATCATCGTTGCGGACAACCTGGTGCTACCCTACATCAGCAATACTCCGCAGACAGCGATGATGAAAGACTTGAAAGCACGTCAGATCTTCAGAGCGAAGGGGTCAAGTTGCACTACCATAGATTAGGAGGGCCCTCCCAGTGGTCTTGTCTCCATGGCATTTAGTCTGGGGAAATATCCTCTATAACGCTAAAGATGTCCCTGCTTTAAGAAGACAGTTCAGATTTTGTAATATCTGAACTTCCTTCAATGCTTAAGCGACCATCGTTGCTGTTATAGCTGCCAAGGTAAGTGAATTGATCAACTACCTCAGGCCCCTCGCTACCAAGTGTTAAAGTGGCCGGTGGTCCTGCAGCCGCATTTTGCACTTTGGAGGTGCGAAGTGCATGTCAAATAATGGGCCGGCTCCAAAGAGGTTATTCAGGATCGATTGCGCCGCTTTAGCATCGTTGAACGGCAAGACAATATCGTCTGCATACTTGAGATCAACAAATCTTTCACCAGGCAGCATCTGAACATCTGCATCATGAGATTACTAAAGGGAGTACTACATGATTGAGCGCAGGACGAAATTGGACAAAAGTGAGGGGAATGGGCAAAATGGGAAA